GCCGGGCTTGGGGGGCGCTCTGGACCGGCGTTGCCGGCGGCAGTTCTCACGACCCCCGTCTGTGAGCAGCACGCCCATCCTGCAGAAAAGGAAGCTGAGGCAACAAGGTCCCGGCATCCCGGAGGTGGCAGAGGCTGGAGGCGAAACGGCAGGACCACGGTCACAGCCCCAGGCCACTGGAGGACAAATACACCGAGAAAGGACAGTTCCTCCTGACATATGGGATCAGGGAAGAAGGAGCGGAATTCTCCAGCTTTCCAGCTAAGCCAGAGCAAAATAAAGCAATACACCCATGTTTTAAAAATATAGATGTGTTTATTTGTCATTAGCAAAAGAAGTTCAATACTGATTGAAGATGCAAACGTGTCCTTTCATGCATTTGTGGAGCAGAACCCTCACTCGTCCCCTGTCACTTCCCTGCCCAAGGAGTTGAGCCCCTAAATTACAAGAACCTAGCCTTCTTTCATGTTGGATTTTCCCATTAAGGAACAAGTGTAATGTTCTAAACAGTTCTCGAAATGCTAAACCAAAGCTCAGCACTAATAGCCTGACTGTAGGAAAACTATTACCCCAAACCGCCTGATTTCCATCATCTAGAACTAAGGCTTGTTAATAACCTTCCTGGAGACATTCCATATGGCATGCAAGCAAACCTGGCTTTAAATTTTTAAGACAAATTTGTTGTTTTTAAATGCAAGTTGCAGAACAGCTGTTCTTTTGGTTTTGTTTTCCAAAATGAATCAGGCTCTAAGATGTCCGAATATTTAATTCCTAAACATCATAAGCATCACCTATGCTATAGATAGCCTATGCTTAATTAAACTACCGCAGAACGAGCACTGAGACCGGAAGGCTGTTCTACGATACCCATTCCAGAAACAAGCAGAGTGCAGCATTCAGGGAAGGAGGAGTCTCTCCAAGGTCTTGTCAACGAGGGCAAGTTCACAGGGCTCACCATGATCCCTATGGGAACACCCTGCTCACTCTCTGACCATGGTTATGTCACCACAGCACGTCCTCCACGCTGGCAGAATGAGATCAAATTTTACTGAAGCAATCACTTGGGCTTTTATTTCGGGACTCCATTAACACATGGTAATACACATCTGGATGAAAACTGGAAAATGTGGCTGTCATGACATTTCTTTTAATCATATTTAGCATCATCCAGACAACTGACCATTTTCCCTCTGGCTATTTACTATCAAGGGAATGAAGAATGTCTTGAAAATTGTATAAAATAGGTTCTGGCAAATAGCTTAAAAACAAAACAGAGCAACCACTCTGGTAATATGACACTGAGCCAATGGCTGTATAAAGAAGTGGAGTTTCTCCTGATGTCCACAAGATAACTATCAAACTATATTTCCAGAGAGTTATTTCATAAAAGTTAGGATTATTGATTTTTCATATCATTACATTCTACATAACTATGACATACATAGATTTCAATTGGAAAGTGAGCCTGCACTCTATTCTATATCCTGCTAAGAGGTGTAAATCAGAATTTAAAAGTGGCCCCATAACAATTACCAGTGGGAAGCAATAAAAAATTCCAGCAGCTCCTGAATGTCCTTTATTTACTAATCAGCCAATAACACCCTGAAGCCTCAGGTTTCCTGGGGATGGAGTCATCACTGTTTTCATAACAGATCCTTGGAGTAATGTAACACAACAGCCACGTGTGGGGCATCAGCCACGGTGAAAGCAGCTCTTATGCAACAGAAGCAATGACATCACACCTTCTGGGAAACTGGACTTTGAGAACAGCGGCATGCAGGGGTTTCATCAGCATCCTTTATACTTGGTAAGTGAATACAAGGGACAAAAGGTAGTAAATCCAAATTGGCTTTGGGCAACTTCTCACCCAGTGACAGTGCAGAATCTTGACTGCAACTGACAAAGGTTAGTTCTAGAGGCGACAGCAGACGTTCTCGCAGCTGTCGGGCCCACTGTGTCCTTCACAACATATTTTCCCTTTAATAATACATCTTTCTTAATTCATAAAAAAGAAAAGGTTAACTCTAGAATCATGGCTAAGTCATCCGCTGTTCAGTTTCTGCCTCTCAGCCAACGGGCCTTGACACTGCCTTCCAATGCTTAAACTCTGCTACCATAACGAGGGCTCATAATCCAAGCGACTTAAGGAGTAAAGGGCAAGCAGGACTTTTAACATGTGTGACTCACAATTTTCCGTTTTCTTTTTGAAAATATGACCTAAGATCAATTGAAGTAGAACATGAAAAATTAACATAATTTACAAGAACCAAGACTAGATCCAGACGTTCAATAGGACTGACCTAAATACATGAAGAACTAACTGTTAAGTGAATAGATGAGTTTAAACTAAGAATTATAAATTAATGGCATAAGAAGAATTCATTTTCAACTGATCTAAACAGTGTTTGAAAGTTTAAATTCACTCTAAAAACTTTTATCAGACCTTTATCTAGAAATAATCTGAAAGTAAAATACTATTCTCAAGGCTAAGGGCAAGCTCTTCGTGGTACAACATCTTAATTTACATTTTGTTATAAAAATATAAAACATACTACTTTTCACCTTTCTTCCACTCAGTCAACATCTTTTGGTTCAGTAACACCAGCTAAGCTGGTCACCACATTCAGATCATATCCACATTGTATCTTCTCCAGTCACCCTAGGTTTTGAGGCTCAGTAAACAGTTTATCTTTCAAAACATACGATGATCGTAACTGGTTTTATATAAGGATAACAGGATAAGAGTCGTTAAAAAAATATACAAGTAGGGTAACCATTTGTTTTGTTATTTTATCCCATTTTCCTCAATTATTAAAACAAGACAAAACTGTAGAAACAACCCTCTACTTGTAATTCTAGATAGTACACAATAAAACGATGTTTGCATATTTTTGAACCAAGCAGAATAAATGTGAATCTTCTGATTACCAAGCATTAAATTCTTTTAAAAACTATGCTTACTTCAGCTGTTGGAAAATATTATCTGACACTTTCTGGTGATTCTATTTTTTAAAATCTGGTATTTTATTTTTAAAAATAAAGTCTAAAGGAATCAAGTATCTAAGACCATTTTCAATTTCTAAGATCATTTTCAATTAGCCATTCAAAACTGGCTTCTCTCCCCCATCCTACATTTTAAAAAATAAGTTTCACATAACATTTGGCATTAACTTATATTTGCTTATCATAAAAACCAAAAGAAATTTGTATATCCAAAATTGGTAAACTTTACAAAATATTTAACATACGAGGAAGAGGTATATCTTACAGAATTATTTGGCTGTATCATAAGGCAATCAACGAAGATGGAATTTTTCTGATCAGAAATTTGACGTACGTGGAATTCTATAACATGACAATTCTCCATAAATCTGAAAGCGTGTGGTTACAGCAATATGATCACGCCACATTGTCATTGCTATTGAACTTGGATGAAAGTAGACTGAATGAGAAAGGAACAAATTTGGTGCCTGCACCAACGTAGAATTTGTTCTGAAATTCTACCCTAAAAAAAAAAAATCCATGTATTAACGGAAAGTTGTGAAATAACATTCCTATGTTCCTTAAAATAACATTTGTTAAGTTTAAAAAATGTTCCTGTGCTAAAATTGCTTCATTCCTTAACATGTTCTTGGCACAAATGTTTTACTTAGATAAACACTCTTCGCCCACCCTGTGTTCACTTTCCCAATGTGTAACAGAAATGCTAACACATCCTGCCCCTTCTTGCACGAGCAGACACCCAAAGGCATGTGCACAGATAACAAGAACCTCTCTCCACCTGGGCAACTGGACGCACAGAGAAGTAATCTGACATCTACTGTAAAACAGTAAGAAATACATAAGAAGCATTTTGCAATAAGATAAAGCGATGTGTCAGACACCCAAAATGAATTAAGAGTATGAAACATACGCAATTATTCTGCAAACATAAACTTGCTTTTACTTGTCGGTGATAACAGTTCAGAAACAAAAGACAATCTTAGCTCAAAGGATCTGTATATAGAACCCAAGGGTAGGAAGGGAAGAACCCACCCAAATTATGAGGGTTATATATGTTTTGGGAAGGGTTTTATTTCTTAAAATAACAGCTCCAAGGCTAAGTTTCCACTCACCAATGGAGGCGTATGGCGTGGAGAAATGCAGAAAGCCCTTCCATGATCAAAAGGATGAAAATGGTCAGAACTGCAAAGAGAGTGATAAGTGGGAACAGCAGCAAGATCCCATAGGTGGTGTCCATACGGAGGGGCACACGCATCAGCATGGCCCACAAGACGTCAGACAGTTCTGAAAAGGAGTTCAATGGGCACAGTTTACTTTGTCTACATTCAGCGGGTCACGTCAACTGCCCCGAATTGCTACCCCATAAAATCATATAACAGGTAACACACATGTGACCTGCTTCCCATGTAAAAGTTAATCAGTTCTTTGATCATCTCAAAAACTGAGGAATACTTGGCATTATGGAAAAATCAGAGGCTCTCTTTCTAGTGGGCAAGCTTGCACTTGACTAGGGTCAGGTTAGCCCATCCGAAAGCAGCAGCACAACCCAGGTTTCCAGTCCTTGCTTTGCCACCAAGGGACCTATGGGTGACACTGAGTAAAGCAGCAAGGGCTTCAGTCGCCGCCTCTGCAAAATGGCAATGATGGACCATGAAGCCCCTTGAATTCCAGCCCTTGGTTGTGCTTACAAAAAACTCAGCACGACAGGAAAACCAGTGGCATCTCCTGGCGGGTGATTCTCGCAAGCCCAGGCAGCCCTTGCTCTGCAGCAGCGCAGGAGCTCACAAATGACCACATGGCCTAGCCGTCCTGAGCATCCTTATTAACCCATGTGGAAACTAGGTTTGTTCTGTGGCCTTTGGAATTTTTGTCAAAACATTGAAAACTCTTACTGTGCGTTATAAACGTACAGGAAAATAAAAAACGCGCAAGTCTATCTTTAGAACACTGGAAGCACTGAGTAGTAAAGCGCTTCTGTCCTTTGTAAAGCGACTCCTCATGGGGGGTCTGAACAGCACTGGCCTCCTTCTTGCTGCAGGACTCAGCAGGCTGGGTGACCTGATATGGCTTTTCTAACACCTACCAACTGTCCTGCTCTTTTCTAAGTTTGGATCAGCTCCCAATATCGCACCCTCTTCACCCTCTATGCCCTGCGTATCCCTACACATCCCTTCTGGGCCTTCTGATCATCTTCATCACAACTCTCTCCTCACTGAAGTCGGTCAGTTCGCCTGCCCCAGACTCCACTGCTGCAGAATGAGAGTCTGCCATGCGCCGCAGTGTCAGCGGACCCAGGTCCGCTGTCTTCTATACTCATTCCACTTATGTGCAGCTGGTGTTCCACTTTGAGCATTATCACTTTTGGTTTCTTGGCTGCATGTTCATCTTTGTTGTCCAAGTCTCCCTTTCGATGATACATGTTTGTAAAATGTCCCATGGATTTGCCCCTGGACAACGAGGAGGCAACACTATCATGCACTTTGCCATCTGTGTGTGAACTGAAGAGCAAATGCACAGTGAACCAACGTGAGAGAAGCAAGGTAACCAGCCACTGGTCACAAGGCAGAAGGGTGTTATGTACACAGTGTGTGGACTAAGAGCAGCAAAGTGTGTATTGTACATACGTACTCGCAGCAAGGATACTGTGGTACATGAAATTTGAAATGTGTAGCTGGGGAACAGGTGTTATTTCACTAAACAATGGAGACTAAAATTCGTGCATCATTAGAACTGTGCAAAGGAAAGACTGCTTATAATCAAAATTAGTAATCCAGGCCGGGAATCATTGGCTCATGCCTATAATTCCAGTACTTTGGGAGGCCGAGGTGACAGGATTGCCTGAGCCCAGGGGTTTGAAGCCAGCCTGAGCAATCTGGCAAGACTTCATCTCTATAATAAATAAAAAAAAAAGAAGACAGGCGTGGTGGTGTGTGCCTATACTTCCAGCTACTTGGAAGGCTGAAGCGGAAGAATCACCTAAACCCAGCAGGTCAAGGCTGCAGTGGCCTTGAGCATGCCACTGTACTCCAGCCTAGGCAACAGAGTATAAGACTCCAACTCAAAAAACAAAAAAATTAGCAATCCACATTGTTCAAGATTTGCTTAAAATACTCAAACTTGGTATGGACTGAATAGAATGACATTAACAACAAAAATGGTAAAAGAAAGAGCAGAGGGGATACAAGAGATAATATCAGAGTTTCTCAAGCCTCTCGGTTCTCAAAGTCCCTTGGATCCCAGTGGTTCTTCTCAGCAAAAACCAAAAGGAACAGTCATGAAATCTGTGTATTAAGTAACTAACAGATGTGAGTTCACACACAGTGACTGAAAGGTGGTGCCAAGTTTCCCCCAAAATGTTAGGATACCCCTTAGCGGTGCCCATGAATTCACGGGGAATTGCAGGACATCTGAGTACAGGATCTGGGCGCTGCAGGTCAAAGCAGGAACTTACGTGCATGAGCCAGGCTGAGGGCCCAGAGCCGCAGGTAGGAAGCGGTGTTGGAGATGCAGCCCAGACAGTACTCAATGGAATGGATCACCTGGGTCATCATGATTTCTCCAAAATTAAACTGAGAGAGACCACATGACGTGTTACTTTATGATGCCGCATACCCACGCCCCCAAGTTAAGTGTGTAGCCCTCTCGGGGCTACAGTGGAAGAACTGCCTGCTGGTATACTGGTGAGAACACACTAGACTGTGAGGAGCAGAAATCCCAAGATCACGTTCTGCTCACAGCTCTGCCACTACCCAGCTCCACGACTACAGAGTTCACTACCCTGACTTCCATCTCAAGCCTGTTTGCCCTGTGTAAACTGAGGGGCTAGACTAGAAGACCAGACCAGAACTGTGAGTGCCACAACCATACATCCCAGACGGCTCGGTGAGTCTCCCAAGCTGGTCCTAGTAATCACGAAACATCTAGTGATAAAGTAGGTATTTACCAACCCACGGGTGGAAGGTTATTAGTCACTCTGCTAGTCTAAGCATTCTGAACAGGAAGCCAACAAGGGAAAACTATCAAAGGGGCCGACCCTGATAAGGTTGCAAGATGCCAGGCAAGATAACACGAAGGCTCTTTCCAGCTCTGCTTTCTGCTTTTCTGTGATCCTGTAAGCCTAATTATTAATTGTCCAAAATTAAAACACTAAATTATAACATTGATTGTAAGAACTTATGTTTGTTCTCACTAACTGGCCACATAAGGCTTCCAAGAAAAAACAGCAGACTGTAGAGGACATGCTTTACTCTGTCTGCCTGGGACTGCACCTCCCCTTCTTTGGGGAAAACCACTTCTTTTCCTGTCTGGCCTTATACCCCTAGCCACAGCTGTTAGGGACTGAATGTCCCCCAAAATTCCTGTTGAAGCCCAACTCCGGTGTGACTGTATTTGGAGGTAGTTTGAGGTTAAATGAGGTCACTGGGCGAGGCCCTAATCCCCCATGACAGGTGTTCTTCTAAGAACAGGAAAACCAGGAATGCACACAAAGAAGAAAGGCCCTGTGAGGGCACAGGGCGAAGGCGGCCATCACAGGCTGAGGAGAGGCCTCAGGAGAAGCCAGCTCTGCCAACTTCTTGCCCTGGGACTTCCAGAATCCAGAACTGTAAGAAAAAAAGTCTATTGTTTTCAGCCCCCTAATCTGTGGCACTGTGTTATGGCAACCTCAGCTAAGACAACAGTCACTGGTACAGGAATGGAAGTGAACTTAGGCCAATCACAGCACTTCTTGGGACTTTTCCTAATCGTCACAAGCAGGTAAGAGTGCTTTCCTCTCTGATCGAAAGAAAGAAAAAAAGAAACCCAGGGCTGCCTGAGGCCATCCTCCAACATCATGGGGCCAACTAACTTCAAAATATAAAGCAAACCGACAAAGAAAAAAGTAAAAGAAAAAATTCCAAGGTCTCTTGGAATTCAAGATCCAGAAACGATAATCATCCTGAAACCAACTCTACTTCTGTCCTGACATGAGTTAGTAGATTTCCTTTTGAAATTAGCATAAACTGAGTCAGTATTTCTTGCAACTATGGAAAAATGCTGACTAATACAGGAATCACTGGAAAGCAATGCTCATGGTACCTTAAGTCACTTAAATCATAACCTGTAATGTTAACAATATAAATCCCATTGTAGGCCAGGCATGGTGGCTCACACCTGTAATCCCAGCACTTTGGGAGGCGGAGGCAAGAGGACTGCTGAGCTCAGGAGTTTGAGACCATCCTGAGCAACATGGTGAGACCTGTCTCTACAGTAAATCAAAGAAATTAGCTGGGCGTAGTGGCACGTGCCTGTGGTTCCAGCTACTTGAAAAGCTGAGATGGAAAGATCATCTGAGCCCAACAGGTCAAGGCTGCAGTAGCTGTGAGCATGCCACTGCACTCTAGCCTGGGCGGCAGAGTGAGACCCCAACTCAAAAAAAACCCCAAAAAGAACAATAGAAATCCCTCTGTAAAAGTAAAACAATTAAAAAACCCCATTCTTGTATATCACGCCAACTATATGACCAAAACAGCATTCAGAAAGTTTTGAGTAACTGTTGCTATGTTTTGTATTTTTAGATTACTTATTATTAACACTTTTTTCAATTTTTAAATAATTTTAAAGATGCAGAGTACAAGTTGGGATCAGATACATAAATGGCCTACATACAGGTAAAATTTGGTCTCCACTGGTCCTCACTTTGCCTGGTTTAGGATCAGGCACCCTTAGTGAGGTTATGTACCCCCATTCTCTCGTATTATTACCACTTTTATCATGACTATCTCTACAAACGCTGTTACTTAATCTAATCTTATCAACAGCAACTGAAAAGATTACCTCTTCACACGTCATTTCTCTGCACCCATCTTCCATCTGGTTATTTCCCTCTTCTATATCTTGGTTTCCCAGCAAAGAAACTTCTTCCTCGCTGTCTTTCCTTACAAGTGTGTAACCACTCTAACAAACAAAAGAACACAATCAGTCACTAAAACTACAAGGTTATGACAAAACCAAATGACATAGCCTCTTTGTCTCTCTTAACAATTCAGTTCTTTGGGCATAAAAAAGTTATTTAAAAGAAAATAAGAACTTCACACCATTAGAATGCCTACTGTTAAAAAACAGATAATAAAAAATGTTGACAAGAATGTAGGGAAATTGGAACTCTCATGCACTGCTGGTGGGAATGTACAATGGTGTAGCCACTGTGGAAACAGTATGGTAGGTCCTCAGAAATTAGATAGTGAATTCCCAAGTTCAAGTCTGGATTATATACCCAAAAGAACTGAAACTCAAGGAGATACTTAAACACCCATGTCACAGCAACATTATTCACAGTAGCCAAAAAATGGAAACAACCCAAGTGTCCATCAATGGGCAAATGAACAATCACAAAGTGGTCTATTCATATAGTGAAGTATTATTCCTTTTTTAAGGAAGGAAATTCTGACATGCCATACATCATAGATGATCCTTACAGACATTATGCTGAGCAGAATAAGCCAGACACAAAAGGACAAATATTGAATAATTTCAGTTAGATAAGGTTCCTAGAGTAGTCAAATTCATAGAGGCAGAAAGCAGAATGGTGGTGACCGGCGCTGGGGAGGGGAGAATGGGGAGTTATTGTCTGATGGGGACAGAATTTCAGTTTTGCAAGATGAAAAACTTGTGGAGATGGATGGTGATGATGGTTGCACAACACTGTGAATGTACTTAATGCCACTGAACTGTACATTTAAAAATGGTTAAAATGGACCAGGCTTGGTGGCTCAGCCTGTAATCCCAGCACTTTGGGAAGCCGAGGTGAGTGGACTGCCTGAGGCTGCGGGTTTGAGACCAGCCAGCTTAGCGAGACCTTGTCTCTACAATTAAAAAAAAAAATTAGCTGGGTATGGTAATGCACGCCTGTAGTTCCGGCTACTTGGAAGGCTGAGGCGGAAAGAACACCAGAGCCCAGCAGATCAACGCTGAAGTGACCATGAGTATGCCACTACATTCTAGCCTGGGTGACGGAGTGAGATTCCAACTTTAAAAAATGGTAAATTCTATGTTATATATACTTTAATTTTTTTTAAAAGAAAGAAAATGAGAAGCTAGACACACAGGAGAATAGTGCAGACAGAAACTCAGTAAAGGCTAGTTCTAACTAGGTGGTGAAACTTAAGGACATTATTTTCTCTATTTTTCACATTGTCTATAATTTATGTTATTTAAATCAAAGATTCTTTTCTATTAATTTATTTTAAAGATGTGGGGTGCAATTCAGGATTAGGTAAATAAGAGGCCATCATACAGGTAAAGTTTGAGCCTCCCTTTGGCCCCCCACTTCGCCTGGTTTGAGATCAGGTACCCTCGCTGATGCTAAGCGCCGCCCCATCCGCTGGCAGCTACTGCCAAACCCTTTCTTATAGTATTATGATAAATGTTCAGGGTCCACTTATGAGTGAGAATATGTGGTACTCAGCTTAAATAAAAGATCCTTTAAGAAAAAAATTAAGAGGTAAGAATGTGGAAAAAGCTTTTTTAATTATGACAAGCTGGGTTGAAGGACTGAGTTAAACTCCTCAGAGGTGTGTTGTTACCACATGCCCAGGATGCAGCAAACTCCTCCACTGAGGCTCTAAGTAAAGGAAGTTTTGGCTTTTAGAATGAGGACTGGGCTCCTCTGAGAGGTGCATTTTGCTCCAGTCCTTGTAGAACTGAAAATAGACGTTGCTCACAATTGACAAGCATGCATCCCAACTCACACTTACCCGGCTCACCCCAAAGCAGCTTCGTCCATTGTGTAGCCACAACAAAAAGAGTGGCTTTCCCAAGAAGAGGACAGGGACAGACAGTGCTGTGATGACAAGCAACACTATCTGGACATGCTCCTGTTGGCACGGAAGGGGAGAAGGTCGATCAAAATACAGAGGCATGCCGATGGTGTCAGCAGCACTGGACTAAATCAGTAAAGATCAAATAGCGTCCACTGACCCAACAAGTGTGAAATCAACATAAGCAAATGATATTTGACAGCACATTGTTTTCTTTCTCCTAAACTCATGGCTGAGTCCTACAACTGATAAATAACATTAATAAAACTGTGGTAAAGTATTATTATGTTTTAGACCAGTAAGGAAATTTTAGGAAAATTCTAAGTAGAGTCAAACTCCAGCTAGTCATTTTCTGAAAGTTCTGTAAATGAGAAAATACACGCATAAGCAGAATACTTTATAGTCTTGGCTCTGCTTCTTGTTGTTTTATTATTATAAAGACTATTTGAAGAATGTGAACATGTATAAGCAGGTTTATTTCTACACATGAAAAACAGCATTCAGAACAAAACCAAAAATGTCTTATTAAAAAGGAGATTGCCAGTTACTTAAAACTAACGCATGAGCAAAACACATTCCCACTTACACAATCACTGCAGTCTGCATGGCTGTAAAGAAACTGTCTGTCCCCTGCTAATCACTCTCTATAGCCATTCCTTCGTCAAAGACAGTGCCAGAGTGATGTGTGCTCCTCGGGTACGAGGTTATACTGCCTTTGCAACACCATCAACACAGTTCACCCTTGAGATGCCGAGAGGGGCGGGGACCGCAGGCAGAGCCACACCAGAAGTTCTGGGCTGTGGAGCCAGGCAGACCTGGGCCAGTATCCCAGCTCTCCTGAGTCACCGACCAGGCCTGCCCTGAGCCACTGGCCATCATCAGTAAAATGAAATTACACCACCGGCCTCATGGGACTGCTCTGAGAATTAAGACTAATCAAGGAAAGCACACCTCCAGGTATGCAACGGGTACTTTAAAAAGGCAATTCCCAGCCGGGCTCGGTGGCTCAGGCTGTAATCCCACACCTTGGGAGGCTGAGGTGAGTGGATTGCCTGAGCCCGCGGGTTCCAGACCCGCGTGGGCAACTTGACGAGACCTCATCTCTACAATAAAACAAAAAATTAGCTGGGCGTGGTAGCGCGCGCCTGTGGTTCCAGCTACTGGAAGGCTGAGGCGGAAGGATCGCCGGAGCCCAGCAGGTGGAAGCTGCGGTGGCCAGGAGCGGCCACTGCACTCCAGTCTGGGTGACAGAGTGAGACTCCAACTCAAAAAAAAAAAAAGCAGTTCCCAGCTGGGTTCGGTGGCTTAGCCTATAATACCAGCACTTTGGGTGGCTGAGGCAATTGGATTGCCTGAGCCCTCAGGTTTGAGACCAGCCCGGGCAACTTGGCAAGACCTCATCTCTACAATAAATCAAAAATTAGCCAGGCATGGTAGCACGTGCCTGTAGTCCAGCTATTTAGAAGGCTGAGGCAGAAGAATCACTGGAGCCCAGCAAGTTGACACTGGGGTGGCCGTGAGTGTGCTACTGCACTTCAGCCTGGGTGACAGAGCAATATTTCAACTAAAAACAAAAAACAAAAAAAGGCAGTTCTCCTTCACTTATCTTTCTGACCAAGCACCTGTGCCCCAATGAATCCCCTTGTGTTTATCTGCACTATCTATGTCATTCTACATGTTTTAATAGAATAATGATAAAATACAAATTTTTTAAAATCACAAACAGGAGAAATAGAAACAAAAGTAGAAAAAAAGAACACAAGGCTGGGTGTAGTGGCTCACACCTGTAATCCCAGCACTTTGGGAGGCTGAGGTGAGAAAACTGCCTGAGCCCACAGGTTTGAGACCATCCTGGATGACATGGCGAGACCACATCTCTACAATAAATGAAAAAACTTAGCTATGCATGGTAGAACACGCCTATGGTTCCAGCTACTAGGAAGGCTGAAGTGGAAGGATCACCTGAGCCTAGCAGGCTGAGGCTACGGTGGCTGTGAGCATGCCATCACACTCCAGTCTGGGTGACAGAGTGAGATTCCAACTCAAAAACAAAAACAAAACACTAGACTAAAAATAAAACATGGTTCTGGAAAAAAATAGGCCCTGATACAATGCAGACCTGGAACAATGTAGTGAGCAGTCTTCACCAGCATCCTTGGCAGGAGACAGCAAGGTTTTTAACACAGCAGGATGACCCTGCAAATGCTGACATTTACTGAATAGGTGGTACATTCCAAACACATTAAAGTACATAATAACTCTATATTATGAACTGGGTCCTATGTCTAATCCCATTTTTACAGATGAGGAAACTGAGGCACAGAAAGTTACATAATCTGCTCTAAGTTCCATCTCAAGCAAGTGGCAGAGCTGGGATTTCAAGCACAGTAGTCAGCCCTCAGGGCCCACACCCTGACATCACACACAGTCATAGAAAAGCCATTTTTCAGGAACCTCTGTGGGCTGTCAATGTGCCATCTGAGGCAGGGAAGCGAGGCAGGCTTCAGGAACCCTCCGGGAACGCTTGTTTTTCCCACCAGTTCTGTAGGCTGCTGAGCAGCCGTGAGTGTGGTGAGTCCTCCTGACCAGAGCCTCCATTTGGTAGTCTAGCTGGAGTGGCATCCTCTGGTAATGACACACACAAACAGAAACCTTCCTAGGTTCCTCGGAGGGAAGACTGTGAAAATCACCCCTATTCATTCTACTGATCAAAAGAAAAGGCTATCAGGAAAACTGTTAAGTTCACGAAGGGTGGAAAAGATCACTTACCTGCCCAGTGTAAAGAACATACATCTCACTGGGTGGGAATAAAAACATGTTAATAAATTCAATCAAAATGCTAGGAGCTACTCTGGAGGTTTCTGCTGAAAAAACCAGCCACTTATAGATAATCATAAATATAAGGTATCCAAAGGTGCAGAGCATGAAAAGAAGCTGTGGGATGGAGACCAAGTAGATATTGAACTTCTTCCTGAAGTGCCTAGAAAGAAAAAAAGGAAACAATCAACCAACAACCAAGAACCACCTCAGTCAAAAAGTAAAGAGTACATTTATCTTCAGGCCAGGTTCAGTGGCCCATGTCTGCTATCCCAGCACCTTGGGAGGCCAGGGCAGGAGGTTCTCCGAGTCCAGGAGTTCAAGACCAGCCTGGGCAGCAGAGAGCACATCCATCAAGAAAAGAGATGTGAGAACAACAAACTGATGAATGCTTTTGTGGTCAAACCTGCTCAAGCTTTCTTCCTTAGTTCCTTTATTCAAAAACATGTATTTCCTTAAAGTAAGGCTACAGATTACTAGTGAATCTGCTTTCAAAATTCATTATCCTAAATTGTTATGAAAGTTCTCCAACAACTTGGCGAGACCTCATCTCTACAAAATAAATTTTAAAATGAGCTGGGCGTGGTGGCACCTGCCTGTAGGTGTAGCTACTTGGAAGGTTGAGGCAGATACATCGCCTGAGCCCAGCAGATTGAGGTTGCGGTGGCCAGGAGCTTGCCATTGTCCTCCAGCCTGGGCAACAGAGTGAGACCCCAACCAAAAAAAAAAAAGTTTTTCAAGTTTTCAGTGATATTAAGACCTAAAGCTACAACACTAAATTATGCAAATTATATTTAGAGATGAGAATGAACAGGTTTAGTTAGAGAAAAATGATATAATCTGCTACTCTTAAGATATTAGCTATAATAAATAAAGGAAAACAAAATGTCTTCTTATTTGTAAAATAAAAAAGAAATATGGCAAAAATCATTTCTGGAAATAAATATGAATTTACACGGCACATGCCAACCCTATTGGAATGTAAACTCTGTGATGGCAAAAACTTTTTCTCTACTCCTCACTGCTGAAGCCTTAGTTCCTAGAACAGCGCTTGGCACATACTATTTGCTCAATATGTATTTGCTGAATGAGTGAATTCCTGAAACCACAAAAAATCTGAATGATCAACCAGAATCACAAAATATAATATACCACCACACTGGCTGCTCTTCATCTAACAAATACAGTCTACTAACAAGAAGCAAAGTCTAAGAAATGCCAAACTTGGTTTATAAATATAGTTTTACAAAATCTGTACTCACAAGTGGTTAAATATTCCCAGGACGACACCAAAGGTCATGTGAATAATTCCTAAAATCACAGACATTTTCATTTTGAAAGAGTTTAGAAAAGTGAGGCGATTCGTGGCCAAGTTCCAAATCTAAAGACCAAACCAAGCAAAACAAAACATCTTTAATTTCCTTCAACAGGTGACACTGGAGAAAGCTATCTTAAGTTAAATGACAGCTTTAAATTGAAAAAAAAAAATACTGAGATTTTTCTCTTGATGCTTTCAGAAACATTGATTTTCTGAAACTAGGGCTGCATACAGTTAAAACACAACTATGTCAAGATAAAAGTTCAAAGAATGATCAATGGAACAACAGAGAGTTTAGGGATATAGGCCTGGGAAGAAGCACCAAAAGGAAAAGCAAGATACAGGCACACAAAGTTCAGAGAGGCACACAAAATTCAGAGGGCAGAAGCTTGTCACTGATACCTGCAGGGAAGGGCCAGGACATGCCAAGGACATCATGCCATTACATCTCACAATCTGTCTGGATGTTCTTATAGTACGTGCGTCGTAACATGTTTACATACATGAGCTATACACACTCTTGTGTGTATATTTTGTAAAAAGTTTAACGATGAAAAACAATAGCGGGAGTGCAGCAGTGGCCAAGTTGAGATGCTGTGCCAGAGCAGGACCCTGGGCCATGGCAGGCCCCCATTCAAGGCCCTCGGTCCCCACTCGTTGACTGCTTCTCTTATTCTCTGAAAGATAATTCCTACAGTCCCTCTTTGGGTGGATCAAGAAAGGGGAAACAGCCTATTAGGACAGAAAAAGAATCATAATTTTTTTTTGAGTCAGAGTCTCACTCTGTCACCCAGGCTGGAGTGCAGTGGCATGCTCATGGCCACCCCAGTGTCAACCAGTTGGGCTCAGGGCAATCCTTCTGCCTCAGCCTTCCAAGTAGCCAGAACTACAGGCATGTACTACCATGCCCGGTCAATTTTTATATATATATACATTGTAGAGACGAGGTCTCCCCAAGTTTCCCAGACTAGTCTCGAACCTCTGGGCTCAGGCAATCCTCTCACCTTGGCCTCCCAAAGTTGAGATTACAGGCTTGAGCCACCGTGCCCAGCCAAGAATCATAATTTTTAAGTAAAAATAAGATTTTAGAATGAGGTATCCAAGGCTAGGAACTAGGTAGACAAGAGGAAGGCAAGGTAGTTTCACTGATTTCAATACAGCAGTCCCCTCAGAATGGTGAGGAGTACAGGGTCAGAATAACCATGTGGAACAGCACTGAGGGAAACCTTCATGCTACCACATTGCCACAGCCTGTCTGAACATTAAGTCAAAACAAGCTGGGTGTGGAACTATCTTCTGAGTAAAAGGAGGGATAACAAGAACACATATTTGTGTATACTTATATATTCATAAGGAAACTTTGAGTGACAAACAAGAAATTAACAGCAGTGGCTCCTGGGCAGGAAGAAGGATCCACTAGAGTCAGGGCACATGGGATGGAGGTGTCTGAAATGGCTGCAGGCCTCTGAGATGGATGGATGGGTGGAGAGAGAGATGGAAGCATGAATGGATGAATGGATATGTGGATGTGTGGATGGGTGGGTGGTTGGATGGAGGCATGGATGGATAGCTGAAGGCATGAATGCATGGGTGGGCAGAGGGAGGATGGATAGACGGATGGATGCAGGCATGGATGGAAGCATGGATAGATGGCTAAATGCATGGATGGATGCATAGTAATGCATGGATGCATAGGTGGATGAAAGCATAGATGCGTGGAAGAACGAATGGATAGATGGAGAGATGGATGGATGGAGGCATGGATGCAAGGGTGGGTAGATGGAGGGATAGTGCATGGATGCAAAGGTGGATGGATGCATGCTAGGATGAGTGAATGGATGGATGGGTGCATGGATGTAATGGTTAGATGGATGGATGGATACACAGACGGATGGATACACAGACGGATGGACAGACAGGTGTGTCAAAGATCTGTAGTCCTTTTAAACATATATATACACACAAACACACACACACACACACAAACACACCTCCACGAAGCACCTTCCCCCTCATGTGTGCACGTGAACCCTGCTCAAGAGTCTAGAAGCTTGTGGCACCTAAAACTAGGTGGTACCACAGACACCTGGAGATGACGGTGGTGCAGTGCACTTACAGGATCAATGCCAAGAGGGTAAGGGCCTTGGAACACTCCGGGAACACTAGGATCCAACTGCAAAACTCTGCTGTGCCTGACGACACTGTCACTGTAACAAAAAGCAGAGCAAGGAGGCTTACCACAGGGAGGAGGAAAGAGACGCAGAAACATGCTTCTATACAAAGCATCATCAGGTGACGAGACACTTACTTCCAAAGCACCATTTTCTTCTGCTCCTGTGGAGTGTGGCTGGAGCTGTACATGGCAGACACGTTCCAGCCGGAGCCAAACAGGTTGACTGACTTTGAAAAGCACTCATTGTAGATGAGGCCGGTGTACACTGAAAACAGCCCCATTAGCAGGAGGATGTATCGACCGTTAAAAAACATTCCCATAATCTGTAAAGAGCAAAGCAGCATGATGACATATGGCTACTAGATGTGTGCACGCAGTCACAATCAGTCTTGGTGTGTTCTCAGCCAATGCTCTCACAGCTTTTCAGAAAACAACCTAACATAGAGACGCTCCTGTCGGCTAGAGGTGACAGGCTGCACACGATACAGCTATCGCCAAAAGTTAACATAGGAGTGCCTCTCTCTTGGTCACTACTAGTGCTACCCAATCAGAAATAATGAGCTGGAGTGTTTATATTTTTACCTCCTGTGACTGATTCAGTCTGGGATGATTTTCATTTAACACCAACAAAAGAGCAAATAAGAACATCATGAAGCCATGTCCAAAGTCTCCAAACATCACAGCAAATAAAAACGGGAACGTGATGATGGAAAAGAGAGCTGCAGGAAAAGGGAGAGAGACTTCTGATTTATCACAAATACGGAAAATGTGAGTGAACTCCAACATGATATATAATAAACTGGACTTCCCCAGAATGCCCAAAACAGAACAGTAAGGATGAATTTAAAACCTTAGACTACATAAGATACCAAAAAGAGTGGCAAGTACACTTTCCCAAATATCTACTTTATTCTTAAGAGTGAGAAATGCAGCACTGCCACAGAAAGCACAGGGGTTGGCGACGCCACATTCCCACCTGGATTCACTTCTCTGTAGCTCCCTACTCCATAGGCGTCCACGATGTTCTGGAATCCCTCAGTGAATTTGTTGGTACGGATCAACGTCGGGGGCGTTTCTTTTGTTGGGATTGTGTTCATAAAGGAGGGGATGGTAGCACCGCTCTCTCTCTTTCACATTAAAAAAAACAGGAAAAACATTACTGGCCCCTATTCAACACGCCAAGGTTACCTGCCCCAAGCAAGGCCCTGCACGTGGTATGGTGGAGGATCAGTCCCCACTCAAGAGGGCCAAGGGCAGTGGGGTGGCAAGAGGAGTCCCTCTGCAAGGACGCAAGGGCTAGGCGAGGGCAGCATCGGGGGCTGTGGTCTCGCAAAGGAAGAATGAGAGTAGAGCCCAGGGGACAGGAAGCAAATGGGGGCTTGGGAAGGAGAGGCACGTGGGTGCATGAACAGGCCTAGAGCCACCAATAGAAAACGGACACTGAGTATTTCATCTCCCAGAAATGGTCAGAAAAGAGGAAGTAACAGACCACTGCAACATGACCTAATTAAAAATGAGAAAAACAGACAATAAGCCAAAGGGTCAACAGTAATTTTATTAGTATGGCAAAATCATAAATATAATTGCTTCCTTCAGTATTTACAATTTCTCTGAAATGTGTTATCTTGATTTATAACTTTTTTGAACTTTTTTTTTTTTTTGAGTCGGAGTCACACTCTGTCGCCCAGGCTGGAGTGCAATGGCATGCTTACCGCCACCATAGCATCGACCTGCTGGGCTCTGGTGATCCTTCCGCCTCAGCCTCCCAAGTAGCTGGAACTACAGGCGTGTGCTACCATGCCTGGCTAGTTTTTGTTTTTGTTTTTGTTTTTAATTGTAGAGATGAAGTCTCACCAAGTTGCCCGGGCTGGTCTCAAACCTGTGAGCTCAGGCAATCCACTAGCCTCAGCTACCCGAAGTGCTGGAATTACAGGCTGAGACACAAAGCCTGACCCAGTGGTATTTTTTCTTTTTTTCTTTTTTTTTTTTTTAAGTTGGACTCTCACTCCGTGGCCCAGACTGAAGTGCAGTGGCATACTCATGGCCACCCCAGCATCAACCTGCTGGGTTCTGGCAATCCTTCCACCTCAGCCTTCCAAGTACCAATGGTACTTTTTAAAACACACCCACGTAAGGGAATTCTGGGAAAATTTTCCTGGTGGCACAGCTCTGAATGTCCCTGAGTCCCCTCAACAGTAAACAGGGCAACTAGAGAGCAAAACCTAAAACCCACAGACAACTTTATAGCCAAACTATGTTCCCAGAGGCCCCAAAACACTAATGGGTGAGGACAACCGCTTACAGCTCCAACACCTACACAGCAGCCTTTGGATCAAAGGGAACAAAGAAGCAACATGGCCCCCAGTGGACCTAAGGAAAATCATCCAAAACATCAAAAGGGCCAGGCACAGTGACTCACACCTATAGTCCCAGCACTTTGGGAGGCCATGGCAGGAGGATTGCTTGAGCCCAGGAGTTCAAGACCAGCCTAGGCAACGTAACAAGACCTTGCCTCTACAAAAAATAAAAAAAATTAGTCAAGTATGGTAGCATGTGCCTATAGTTCCAGCTGCTACTCAGAAGTTGAGGTGGGAGGACTGCCCAGAAAGTCAAGGCTGTGGTGAGTCGTGATTGTGCCACTGCACTCCAGCCTAGACAACAGACTGAGACCTTGACTCAAAAGAAAAAAATATATATATATATATTTAAGACCCAGACAAGAAGTATTCCCTAGAAAGCCGAGTAGGCCAACCCAAGAAAAGCAGCTGATACTGGGAAGGGTTTCATCTAGTCCTAGAGTGGGTGAGAGTAAGAGTCCACAGAAGTGAGGCCTGAAGGGGCCAGGGCAGCCCAGCCCTGTGAACTCATGGCACAGGTCAGCTGGGGCCTCCCCCAACAAGGGGACCGCAAGCTTCGGAGAAACTGCTGGGAGGGAAATTGAAATTGAGGAGAGTGGGAACAAATATGAGAAAGTACAGAGAAGATCCAGATAAAAGAGAGACAAAGAGAAAGTCTCAGATCCAAGAGCTGACATGTTTTCGTAAGCACATTAAAAAATGTGTGTATATATATATATATATATATTTTTTTTTTTTTTCTTTCTTTCTTTTTTTTTTTTTGAGTTGAGTCATGCTCACAGCTACTGCAGCCTCAACCTGCTGGGCTCAGGTGATCCTCCTGCCTCAGCCTTCCAAGTAGCTAGAACTACAGGCACACGCCACCATACTCAGCTAAGCTTTTTTATTTGTTGTAAAGATGAGGTCTCGCCAAGTTGCCCACGCTGGTCTCGAACCCATGGGCTCAGGCAATCCTCTCACCTCAGTCTCCCAAAGTGCTGGTATTATAGGTGTGAGCCACTGCACCCAGCCCACAAAAATATTTTTAAGAATTTCTGTGAGATTAGAAAAGTTATCCCGAACCTGCCTCCTGAAACTTCCTTGAGCTTAAACATGATCCAGAAATCTAATTTCATATACATACGTGCTATTTGTAACCAGAATTTCCTTGAGTATCTTCAACATGTCTCAGAAAACTAATTTAATTAAAAATTGATCAAGAGCCGGGCTCGGTGGCTCAGCCTGTAATCCCGCACTTTGGGAGGCCGAGGTGAGTGGATTGCCTGAGCCCGTGTGTTCGAGACCCGCCTGGGCAACTTGGCGAGACCTCATCTCTACGTTAAATCAAAAAACAGCCGGGTGTGGTAGCGCACACCTGTAGTTCCAGCTACTTGGAAGGCTGAGGCGGAAGGATCGCCGGAGTCCAGCAGGTCGAGGCTGCAGTGGCCGGAAGCAGCCACTGCACTCCAGTCTGGGCGACAGAGAGAGACTCCAACTCAAAAAAAAAAAAAAAGTGATCAAGAGAAGCTAGAGGTCCAATCATACAAAAAGGTATAAGAATAAAGCCCCAACAGCAAAATAACCTCCCTACAGACAGTGAGAACACACCAGAAAGACTGCCCACAAAACAGTAACAACTGTGGCCTACTATTTCAAATGAACTAAGAGAATTAAGAAAATAATACAAGGTAGGAAAAAGCACCACAAACCAGAATTCGACTCAGAAATAAGGTAACAGCACGCAGGAAGGGATCAGGAAAAAGGGAAGAAATCTGTTTCAGAAATGAGACAAAACTAGAAAGAACTCAAAAGTGAACAATCCTCCCTCATAGCGCTGTCAGAGAAGCAGAAGGTGCACAGAGAAAAAATTTTTACAAATCAGAAAGAAGGAAAGAAGAACAAAAAGGACTCAAGGGATAGTGACAGATACTGAAGACAGGCAAAAACGCTTCAACTTACAAACAGAAGGTCCTGAAGAAGAAACCAAGGCAAGAGAGGAGAGCACAAGCTAAGAACTGTAATTCAGGAGGAATCTTCTGAAATCAAGAAAGCCAAACACTATTTATTGAAAGAACATGTATATTATCTGAGAATGTGAACCCAGAAGAAGAGACATTCTAGTAAAATTATTATCTTTAAAGAAAAAAAAATATCTCTTTGAGTATCTAGATAAGAAAAAAAAAGCACATGAATAACAAGGAAGAGAAAATTAGATCAACATCAGGCTTTTGTCAGTAACACAGTGCCAGAAAGAAATGGAGTAACATATTTAAGTTACTAAAGGAAAGGCAACAGTGGCTCATGCCTGTTATCCCTGGACTTTGGGAGACTGAGGTGGGAGGACCATGTGAGGCAAGGAATTTGAGACCAGCCTAAGCAACATAGTGAGGTCCCATCTCTACAAAAATAAAAATTTAAAAATGAACAAAGATACTCAAGGGAAAAAATAATGAGCCAAGAGTTTTATTTCCAGAAAAACAAATTTTCAAACATAAGGCAGACACTACAATCAGTCTGTAAGAATTCAGGGAATACTGTTCTCATGCGTCTCCCTGAGGAATCTTTAGGGAGCATGCTTGAGATGTCAGATGGTTGGAGAGGCATCAACATGAGAACTGGGGACTGCAGGTTGGAAGCTGATTCCCAACTTGAGCAGGTGCTGCCTGTTGGCACTCCACATGCAAAACACCACTGTGGGCCTGACCAAAGTCAATCCTGTTGACAGCAAGAAGGCAACCTCCAGATGAGCCAGCCCACCAAGATACCTATAAGAGTCAGATCCAGCTGGGCTCGTTGGCTCAGCCTGTAATCCCGCGCCTTTGGGAGGCTGAGGTGAATGGATTGCCCGAGCCCACGGGTTCGAGACCCACCTGGGCAGGCGAGACCTCATCTCTACAATAAATCAAAAAATTAGCCGGGCGTGGTAGTGCGCGCCTGTAATTCCGGCTACTCGGAAGGTTGAGGAAGAAGGATCACCGGAGCCCAGCAGGTCGAGGCCTCGGTGGCCGGGAGCGGCCATGCACTCCAGTCTGGGCGACAGAGTAAGACTCCAACTCAATAAAAAAACAGTAAGATCCAAGGGGTGCTGGGGGTTTGCAGCATGAGTTGCTTCATCATCACTAGAATACATTTTAGTTGTCTGACTGAATCTATGAAAACCAGCCATTTATCAAGAAAACTAAAACTGCAAGGAGAAATGAGAAGAACAGAGGAGGCAAGAAAGACGAAAAGGAAAGAAAGGAAGGAAGGAAGGAAGGATGAGGGCCCCAGGACATGTGAGATGAGCGCCAAGAGCTCTGTGCCCTCAGCAGGGGAGGCAAAGGACCAGGCGCCACAAGCGCAGCACAGAACAGACATGCAGAGAGAGGAGGACAGAGGGCCACTGAGGCCTTCAAGCAGCTCTCAAGACACCCAGAGTATGTGCATGCAGACGGCAGAAGCAGCATTGGGACTGTATCTGAATTGAATGCAGCAACCTTAAACCTTAAAAGTTACAGAGAAGCACACATACATGCACACGCACCACATATAACAGGAGCAATCCTCCTGCCTTGGCTTCCAGAGTGCTGGGATTACAGGTGTAAGTCACCACTCCCAGCCCCAAAAAGCTCTTCAACATACACAAGGTATTCAAGTTTACTCATAACAAGAGAAATGCCAATAGCTGGCAATACCTATCAAAATTAGTCCAGCGGTTCCATTTCCAGGAATTTATCTTACAGAAAGATCTGAATGCGTATGAAACATCATAAGTTAAGTGCTACTCACCACAATGGTGTTTATAAAATGGAAACTACCTAAATGACCAGGGAATCAGTTAAATAAACTGATATATGCACACAACAGAATATCAACTAGTTATATGAAAAACAGTAAAGTTTTATTAAATGAAAACAACAGTACGACTAGCACGTCTTTTGTGGAGAAAAGGAAAGAAAAAGAGTATCTATTCACATGTGCTTATCTATGGTGAAGAAAGCGAAAGACAGGACAGAACTAACACACTGGCTATCTCTGAGTGCAGGAACAGGACAAACGAGGCTACAAGGGAGGAGAGAGCCCCTGCACTGTGTCTTCCATACTCTTTTTTATCTCTTCTTACTTTTAAGCCATGTGAATGTACTACTTATTCAAAAGAGCAACTTAAAAACGTGTACACACACACATGCTGGAAGGCTAGCCCACCATAATCTCAGTTCAAAAGAAGAGTCAGCATGGTGCGCTCTCAGGACTCCATGACCTTCTCATTCTCTTCACTTCTCCAGGTGTCTGGGCTCCATTGTCCCTGCGGCTCCTAGAAGGGATAGAAAGGTGTCTTACCGAGCCCTCCTCCAGCGCCCGGCGCAGGTCATGCAGATCCACCTCGGGACACCAGACCTCGGCGATGAGGCACTTGTTGGTCACATCGAAGCTGCACATGTTCAGCATGTGATAGATGGCTTTCATTTTCTTCACCTGGACCACACGGTTGTACACAGACTCGGCGGCTTTACACAGCACTTGCCTCAAGTAGTCCTCAGTCTTGTGAAGTACCTGGGGGAAAACGAACATAGGACTTCAGCGTAGTGGACATTTTTGGGGTTTTCTCCACCTGGCACCTCATGTCCTTTAGGGGAATTTCTTCCCGTTGATGGAGGATCATTCTAGGCACCTGCCTGTCCTGGTGGCAGTTGAGGGAGCCATTCAGTCCTTCCTCTCCTCACTCCCAGGACCACCCAGAGGTGGGTGGAAAACCTAAGCTCAGCCAGTCAAATGCCCTCTCGGGAGGCTGCCTCCAGAGAACGTAACCCCAAGGACACAGGACGTGCCAGTGTGGTACATCCCTCAGACACAGAGGTGCCAGTTCTAGCTTACTTACAGTATAGAGGTCCTGAATCCGAGTGTTGAGTCCCTCCTGGATCTCCCTCCGTTCCTCAGCAGTATTTGGATAGGGGTACACGTGACAGTGGTAACTGGAAGAGAGGAGTGAACTCTAGACCCAAACTCATTCACCCCCAGGCACACATCCTGGCACAATGGAATAAAAAGCAGCTCTCTGGGAGGAAAAGGTGTGGAAGCTAGCATCTGCCTGTCAGGCCTTGTGCACAGATGCTCACAAGCATCTGCTGAATTAAACACATCTAGAAAATTCTGGATCCATAGTCTACCCCTGCCCTCAATGATTCCTGGCAGCTCACTCCCAATTCTAACTTTCTGAAATTCAACAACATCCAGGGACTGGAAATCACCGAGCAGGTTTACAACGCAAAACCAAAAATAAACAAACACACAAAGTGGTTTTCTTTTGAGCTGAATTGTTTGACTTTTGCTTATGTTTCCATCTGCCGACAAGATTCTTACTGTAACACCATCCAACATCTGATGGCTTACACCAAGTGGACGCGTTTTCCTTGCATTAGCTCATTTGTCCTAAAGGCCCTATGAGAAAGGAATGGCTCTCCCCTTTTACAGATGAGGAAACCAAGGCTGGGTCGCCTGTCCTAGTGAGGACGAGGCATGGCGTGGCAAGGCTCTGCATCCAGGCAGGCCCTCAGAGGAGTGCCCATTCCTCGACACACACCACCCGCCCCATGGTACCCAGGAGGAAAATGTGCCATGTGCTTAGTGAGGACAGGAGTCAATGTGTGGCTCAAAGCAACAAGAAGGCACAACGTGTTAAAATTGGGTTCCTCTTCCAATCAATCCAAAGCCTTGATCTCCAAGGAAAATAATCAAATCTGGAAATATTATTAACATAGTCTCTACTTTAAATTAGTTTAAGTAATAAACTGACAAGGGAGATGACACATTAAATTAAGAACTTGAATCAAAGTCCAGCAAAAAAATCATTTAACAAAAATTAGCAGCAGGTCAGGTGTGGAGGCTTACACCTGTAATCCCAGCACTTTGGGAGGCTGAAGCAGGAGAATAGCTTGAGTCCAGGAGTTCAAGATCAGCCTTGGCAACATAGTGAGTGACGTTATCAAAACAAAAAATAATTTAAAAATGAGCTGGGCATGGTGGTACGCAACTATTGTCCCAGTTACTGGTGAGGCTGAGGCAGGAGATATTGGGAGTCTGAGAACAAAAATTTCTCATTGCTTGGAGGTCAAGGCTGCAATGAGCCAGGATTACGCCACTGCACTTAAGCCTGGGCAACAGAGTGAGAACTTGTCTCAAAAAAATAAAGAAAGAAAACTAGCATGCTTTTCCTCTACCCAATTTCTTTCTGGGATTATAGGTCTTGAACTCCTGGACTCAAGCTATTCTCCTGCTTCAGCCTCGCAAAGTGCTGGGATTACAGGTGTAAGCCTCCACACCTGGCCTGCTGGTGTTTTTGTTAAATGATTTTTTTTTTTGCTGGATTGATGGACAGAGGAATATTTGATGGACAGAGGAATATTTAAGAAAAACTGGAGGTTACTGAACATAGTATAAAGAAATAAATTAAATGTTTCTTTTTCTTACCAATCACATATCTTCTTAACCTTGTGGCCAATTTGCTCTCCCCAAAAGGATATTAAAAACACATACCATTTTATGACTTCTCCCTACAAAGAACAAATAAGGATGAGTGCTACTTCTGTGTGCATAACTTCTAGTACTTTGGCAGCTCAAGCACTGTCAAAGCTTTAATATGTTCGTTCATTCAATAAATACAGTCAATCCTCATTTCTTAAAGATGCTGTAACTACAAATTCACCTGCTTGCTAACATAACCCCAAAAGCAACACACAGAGCGCTTTCACAGTCATATGCAGAGCCCCCAAAAATGTGAGGCACTAATGCCCATATTCCCAGGTAAAGTCCAACAAGTCATGCTCTGCCGTCTCATTTCTGCTCTCAGACTGGAAACAAGTGTTCTTTACATGGTCTATTTAGTGCCATGTGTTTTGTGTTTCTGTACTTCTTCCTGGTAATTCTGCTGTTTAGAATGGCCCCTTGTATAGCGTGGAGATGCTGCCTGGTATTCCTGAGCACAAGAAGGCTATGATGTGCCTGACAGAGACAACAGGAGTATTAGAGATACTTCCTTCAGGCATGTGTCATGGAGCTGCTGGTTGTGAGTTCAACAATTATATTAAGTCAGGTGTCTTTAAGCAGAAATACAAATATATAAAATAATGTGACTGATCAGCTATTGAAAATGTTTAGCCGGGCTCAGTGACTCAGCCTGTAATCCCGCGCCTTGGGAGGCTGAGGTGAGTGGATTGCCTGAGCCCGCAGGTTTGAGACGCACTTGGGCAACTTGGCGAGACCTCAGCTCTACAATAAATCAAAAATCAGCCAGGCGTGGTAGCACGCACCTGTAATTCCAGCTACTCGGAAGGCTGAGGCGGAAGGATCGCCGGAGCCCAGCAGTCAAGGCTGCGGTGGCTGGGAGCAGCCACTGCACTCCAGTCTGGGCGACAGAGTGAGACTCCAACTCAAAAAAAAAAAAGAAAACGTTGTGAGCAGAGGCTCACAGGAACCTAACCCTGTATTTCCCCTAGGAGCAATGGTTCCATTGTCGATAATAATTCAGTGTTCTCAGTGACCTTATGAAGCATAACTAGTGCAAATAATGAGAAGTAATTGTATTTACAAACATTCAACAAAACAGAATTCTATAAAAACTGAGGCCGGACTCGGTGGCTCAGCCTGTAATCCCACACTTTGGGAGGCTGAGGTGAGTGGACTGCCTGAGTCCGGGGGTTCGAGACCCACTTGAGCAACTTGGCGAGACCTCATCTCTACAATAAAATCAGAAAATTAGCCAGGCGTGGTAGCA